TATCAGGACAAAATGGGAACACAGTGCAAGTGGTTTGGTCCACTTTAGTTCAACTATGCGAATTAGGTAAAAGAAAAAAAATAATTTGGCTGATATACTGCATGATTCCATTTATATAATGTTCAAAAGCAGGTAAAACTTACTTATATTGTTGGAAGTCAGGATACTGATTACACTTTGGGAGGTAGTAACTGGAAGGGGCCAAGAGCGGGGGGTTTTGAGGAACAGGTGTACTGGTTATGTTCTGTTTCTTGATATGGGTGCTGGTGACACAAGAGTATGCTTAAATTCCTTCCACTATATACACTTATGTGCATATTTCAGAATATATAATACTTCAATAAAATTTACAGGGAAAAAGCATATGAAAGCAGAGGAGGGCACTGACAAAAACCTCAGCCTGGTTGCTCTCTTATACCATAAAGCCTATATAAGTGCTGCAAAATTTACCAACTCAAGTATAATTTTCCTGAATCTTGGTAGGAGAAAATGCCATATGTGAATCACAGATCATTTCTTAAATGTAATAAAAAGCCATCACATGTATAATTGCCAAATATGCATATGAATGATAAACACCTTTTAAGCAATTCTAGTTTCCACTGTCATATAATGCTCACCTAAAGAGGAAGCTGGAAAACCTGGTCCTACTAACAAAAGTGGATCCCTCCCTGATTTCATTTTAGGGCAGAAGAACCTGACTTCTACTGCCAGTCAAAGGTCACTCTGAAACAAGCACACTGAGAGGCTACAAGTTCCCTGCCATAAGCTTCAATGCAGCTCAGCTGGGGATGGCTAGCTGTGCGAATTAAGCAAAGTCACTTTACATCTCAGGTCCAGCTTCCACCCTGAGGGAATAAACATACTGTACTACCTCAGAGAGTAGTCTAAGCATTAGTGAATTACTATCTTATTACCTAGTTGGAAAGCAATTAATGGCAGTGATTGGAAGCATAAAAGATTACCTGTGGACATTAAATAAACTGTTCAACCATATCTGGAATGTTTCCCCAGGGTTATACAAACAGGAGAGTATTTAACTATAGATAAGCAAATCAATCAAATCAACAAAACTTTCCTTTGAGGGGATGCAAAGAAGCAGGGACTTGCTCTGTCTTCCTGAAGGCCCAAATCTCTTGGCTTCATAGTGTCAGGATATTTGGTGTTTTGTTATCATTCCATATGTGGCCCCTTGTGCCTACAGAACGGAACCACTGCTATAAAGAGCTGAATACCATTCATATGTCCCCCATCACTGCACAGGAAACTGCTTAGTAGCATTTATAAGTGCTGTCTCCCAATTTCAAGAGAATGAACAAAGGCATTTATTAGACAAGGGAGTGGTCAGTCGTGTTGAATTCACCTGGGATTTAGAGTACTCTGCAATGACAGTTGCCACATCTAGAGGAGATATGGGACAGCACACACCAAACAGGCTATTCACGAGAGGCACCTGGAAATTCTGCATGGCATCCACTGTGCATTACCCAGCAGCAAGTTTTAAATATTAGCTGATTGCATAAAGTCTGTATACCAGGGCACATGAAAGTAACATCTTGCTTTTCTAAATGCCTGATTTCAATCCCTTAAACTGGCCATTCAAATTAGTCAGGAATTCATTGCATAAAATAGAATCAATTATCATTATCACCTCATCCAGCACACTTTTTTGAATACCTATTATATGCAAACACTGTACCAGACGCTTTCACATGTAATCTCAGTTAATATTTACAACAACCTTCTGAGGTAGGCGTTAGTATCCTCATCTTACAGATGAGCAAACTGAGAGCTAAGACCGTTAGGATTCAAACCCAAACCTATATGACTCAAAGCTTGTACTCTTTCCATGAACTTTTCCTGGCTTTCCCAGTAGAGACAGGAAAGAAGTTCATAGTCATTTGTCTGTTTGGTTTTTATCAGTGATTCTTCATGGAGAGGATAACACCGAGGCATAGCACTAATGGTTTTAGAACAAGAAAACAATTGTCAGAAAAGAAAAAAAAATCTAAACTTGAAAAATTGGTTTCAAAGTAAAATGAACACCCAAGATATGGATTGGTGCAACTGAATTGATACAAAAAGAAGAGAGAACATGCCATACATTTTCAAGAATCAGTTGTAAATTCTGAAATCCAAAAAAGCAGTTGTAACTATTAATGACTCCTACTGAGAGTACTGAGTCATCGACTTGGTTTCTAATCTCTGCTCCCAAAACAGCTTACCCTATGATCTTGGATCAGTTTATCCATCAGTAAAATAAGAATAAATAATAAAATGAATCTACTTCACAGAGATATTTTAAAGAATAATCTTAAAACGACAGTAACACCACCACTTTGAGATCTTATGAGAAAAGCAACTGCAGTCAATACATGACTAACTCCATCAATGCAGAGGAATCATTCCTAAGGAAAACAGACAGTCCTAGATAATCATCACAGCTGATCTAGGATTGAGGTCCTGAGGGGCTGTACTCCCTTATAAGAAGCAAGAAACAGCTCCTGAACTGCATAATTAAGAGCCAATCAGAGAAATTTGAAAGGTGGTGACCAGCCAAGACAGTGCTACAATGATTCACTCATTCACCTATCCATTCAGAAAATATAAATTGAGCACTTCCTTTGTACTAGAAGTGAATTTTCTCCTCCATTACCTATGGGTTCAAGAATAGAGCTGGGCCAGCCTAGGCACTATGCAGTGGGTCTTACGCCGGACAGCCATCTGCAGCCTGGAGCCCAGTACTCGATGCAGGAAGGGCCCTGGAAAAGGGGAATCTGAAAATCCTCCTTAAGCTTCATACCACTGTGAAGTCTCCCTCCTGGCTAGACATAGTTCTTCCATTCCCTCCAGATTTCCCTGAGCACAGAAGCATAGAATTACACACACACACACACACACACACACACACACACACACACACACACACACACTGGCTCTGCATCGCTGTATTGGATTATACGTATTTAAATATGTTCCTTTGTATGACATGAAATCTTCATAGTTGTTTCTTCTGCCTTTCATTAGACTGAAATAGACAGCTCCACTCCCTAGGAAGAAACCTACTGTAAACCCATTTGTGGCTGGTCCTCCTTGTGAGCTCCTGACAAGCTGGGAGAAAGCTTCCTGGTGACTCCATCTTAGTTGGACTGCCTGCAGAGCCTAACACTGTACTTAGGGTGCAGCTGAGGTGTGGCGGGGGTGGGGGGTGAGGGGGCCTTAAAGCAGCTGAGCAGGGTCGGAGGCACAGGGAGTAAGTATACCGAAGAAGGGTATGTCCCCAAGGAAAGGGAAAGCTTAAAGATACCTGAGGTGCACACATACAAACATATAAATATATGTGTATATGAAAAGTAAAGCAAGGGCATATTCATTTATTTATAATCTAACACTAAACTATGACTGCCAAGACAAAAATACAGTGGCATTTACCCTCCACCCAATCCCTCTGCCTTTGGTGGCTTCTGCTACCCACCTCCCCTCTCCTCCCCTCCCCTCCCCTCCCCAAGGCAGGCTGCCTTGGATACTCATTTTGACCTGATTTCAATTCCATCTGGTCAAACATGCTGGGAGGAGGGGAAGGGAGAAGGAGAAACACATTAAGATTTGCTACTGGGCTAGACTTGGCCCTTGAGTTCCAGCCACCCTCCCCCACCCCAGGGTGATCCTGTGGTGAGGGAGACATGGAAAGCACCAGATCAAACCCTGAGACAGAAGCCAAAGCTGTCTGGAAACATTTTCTGAGCATTTACAATTCTCCATTCTCCATCCATTTGCAGCTCACGTTGAGGGGCCCTGGAAGGCTCTCAGTGGGCTCCAGGATTGCTATGTATTCCTGTTAACCTGTGGGGCCATTCCTCCTTGCCTCAGCCTTAACGTGGTATCCCTCTTGCCTATTTTCTCTCTCCCTTCCTGTTCCTCCCCTAAACTCCTTTCCTTCTTGACCTTGAGAACCCAGTAATGGGCTCCCTCATATTACTGGAAGTCTGGCAAAGACGGTGAGAAGCAGGTTCCCTTCAGCTGGGGTGGGGAAAGGAAGAGGCAAAGTGACAGCGAGAGGCAAGAGAGCAAAAGGAAACATCTCCTGCCATCTCCTGGTACTCCACAGCAGAAGAACAAGTCCTCTTCACGCCCAACTGGGGAGAGCAGCCCAGCCCCCAGGTTGCAGAGGAGATGTTTTGGCCAGTCACCTTCCGTGATTCTAACTCTGCAGAGGGGAAAACCTGCAGAGGGCCTGGCCCTTTGCATCCACAAGAGGCAAGGTGAGGATTATGGACTATTTTGCAGGAGAGATAAGGCAGACTTGGCAGATTGTGCAGATTAGCCCACAAACAAAACAAAATAAACCAAAACGTCCAGCTCTCCCTTGGGAGAAGGGGAAGAAGCAAGCACTCGGTGACCTTTATTTGGGCCAAGACTGCTTTGTCTCACGGATGCAGACACGCGCCCAGGCTGCTAGGGGAATACCACCAGCTCTCCGGCTGCGATAAGGAATACCTTTCCCGCCCCTAAAAACTGCTTGTTTTACTAGCCCATTCTCCCTCAGCGCTTTCTCTCCTTCCCCTTTGTTTATCCTGAAAATAAATAAACTCTCCAGTTTGCCTAACTCTTAGCTTCAAAGGAAGGAATCAGACTTGCAGACTGGGTTGCCTGGACTTTGGGTGTGCTGCAAGAAGGGAAAGGTTTTTGCCTTTGACAGGTGTTACTCAGGTCTCAGCCTCCTGGATTACTTGAGGGTGTGTGGGGGGGTACTCGCTGGGCAACCCCTCCCCCAACTGGCATTCAGTGGCTGGATCCAAAACAGTTGCTCCCGGCATAGCCCACAAATGAAATCGCTCTTGTCCAGCTGCTCCTTCCAAGCTGCAAAGTTGTTGGGGAGACGGGAGGGTCCGTGGTGGGGGTGGGGATTATGGGGATGGGACTGTGGATTGGGAAGGAAAGAAAGAGGTATTCGCGATCCCTTGGGGGTGCGCTCCTCATCACCCGTTCGCTTCACTTACCATCTCATTGTAGGCATCCTTGCTGAGCCTGGGGGTCAACTTGATAGTCCCCATGAAAACAAAGAAGAGTCCCAGGGCCACTGAGAGGGCCACGACAGTTATGGTTCTGGGGGATGCCATGGGGTCACCAAGGCAGGTGCCAACTAATCCTTTTGCTTTGCGCACCCTGTCAGTCTTTAAGGCGCAGGCAGTTAGCACAGAGAGTTCGAGAGGGACGCTGCGGAGGCAGCAGGCAGCTAGAATGACAAAGGGAGAGGAGGGAGCTCTAGAGAAAAATTGAGAGATCCAGATTCTACCTCTCTCACTACAACAATCGCTGGGTCCTAATGCCCTGCGTTTGTTCCTCACTGGCTAAAAGCACCGTCTTGAAGTTAAATGAAGCCCTAAACTGAGGTGGAAACTTCAAGTCTTAAATGGGGAAAAGGTAGGGTATGCTTCGAGCTCAGTCCCTGAACTGCCTCTGGAATGAGGATTAGGGAAGACCTCCTTTCCACCACTTCCCACCAGGCACACTTTTCATCTCTGTAGTCCTCTAGTTATCACTGCCTTTTTTCAACCTCTTTCTTTTTCTCCCCTTCCCTTTCCCTCAGTCAAATCACTAGTCCTTAGAGTTGCTGTTTTCTGCAGTTGATAACCCTCAAGGATAAAACTGCAAAGTTGTCAGGCTTGATTGCTGCCAGAGAAGGTTTCTCCTCCTCTAAAACCTTTCATGACTCCCATTGTCCAGTTTTTAACTCCAGAGTTTTAAACACGGCCTTCAAGACCCTCCATATTTTGATCTCTGCCTCTCTCTGGAGGTGTATCTCCCAATAGCTCCCACTGTCACGTGCCATCCCTCACCTCCTGTCTACTCAGGGCCCCATACAACCTGAGCTTTCCCACCTCCCCTACATTGCCTCTCCCTACCCCAGCAATCTTCCCGAACATTCAACCTTCTCTTCAATGTCACCTCCTCCACAAAACCTTCTCTGATCCGTTCCCAGCTGGATTTTATTTCTTCCTCCTCTGATTTCCTGTAATAATAATTAATATGTATTGACAATTTACGAAGTGCTAGACACTGCCCTTTACTTGTATTAACACATTTAATCTTTACAGCAACGCCATAAGTTCCCATTTTGTGGATGGAACATCGAGGGACAGGAAAGTTAAGTAAGCAACTTGCCCAAAAGTATGCACTAGTCAATGGAGAGCCAGAATTCAAACCTAGGCAGTCATTTCCAGAGCCCAGGTGCTTAACCATTGCTCTACTGCCTCTCCGTAAAATATGTTGCATCATTAGTATGTCACTTACCTGATACTGTAAACACACACACACACACACACACACACACACACACACACCTTTTTGAGATGCAGTGTTCATTTCAGTAAGGGAGAGAAGATGGTTTGGAGTAAGATCCCGAAGGTCCAGGATTTAAATCCCAGCTCTGCCACTACCTCTGTGAACTTGGATAAGTCACTTAACTTATCTGAGCCTCCATTTCCACATTTATAAAATGTGGATTAAAATTCTGCCTCAAAGGTTTGTTGTAAGAATTCCATGTGAGCAAATTGCATAGCAAGTGTCTAACGTATAATACCTCAATGGATGTAGTTCTCTTCTTGCTTCTTCTGCATTCCACTCCAGTTACTTCAGATTATAAGCATGTAAAAGGTAGGAACAGCTTCTACATATCCCCCTATAGTATCTAGAATAACACCTTTTGTGCACCAGATCCTAATAAACCTTTGTTGGAAAAATTGATGAATTTAAATACAAATATCTCTGGGAATGGTAACACTTTAAGATTTAGCAATCGTTTACATCTTATGGTGGAAAAAATTTCAGACTCCTTTCTGTTATAATTCATTTATTGAGTTGAATTACTGAGTGCCTACAATGTGCTTACAAGTGAATTAGGTGCCATGGGAATACACAGATAAATGAGTCACAGACCCTGCTCCTAATGGGCTTGTTGTACAGTAGAGAATAGGGATTGTTAGAGAGGAGAGAATTTCTTTATACATAAAAGAAAGACTGGAAAGAATAAACCAAAATGAAATGTTTGTCTTTATAATTTGTTTTCCAAATGTCCTACATTGTGTATGGCAGTCAAATGAGTACTTAGGGAAGCCCATTCACATAGTTAAGCAACTGATCAAAAAATATATGTACATACATACTATTTTTCCTTTAAAATTGCATGATAATGGAAATAATAGTATTCATTATAAAATGTATAAAATGCTGAATAACAAATAATATAGGAAAAAAATAACTCATGATCCCAACATACAGAGATAAACATTGTTAATATTTGGGTCAATATTTTAATTGATCTTTTTCTTAAATACCTCTATGTGCAAAATAGATATGAATTTATTTTTCTAAATTTGATCCTAATATAGTCAGTTTTATACCCTGATTTTTTTCACTGGTTAATATTTTTCTGTATCATTGGACTGTTTTCAAAAATATAATCTTTTAAAAATGATTTCAGTAGAAAAGGATAAAGGGGATCAAATATATGATGACAGAAGGAGACCTGACTTTGGGTGGTAAACACGCAATGCATTGTACAGATGACATGTTATAAAATTGTACACTGGAATCCTATATAATTTTGTTAACCAATGTAACCCCAATAAATTCAATAAAATTAAAAAATACCTAGTGAGGGGCCAGCTGAGTGGCTCAGTTGGTTAAGAGTTGGCTTGGGAGCACGAGCTCTGAGCAGCAGGGCTGCCGGTTTGGTTCCCACGCTGTACCCTCTACAGCTAAGATTGTGAACAACAGCTCGACCTGGAGCTGGGCTGCCATGAGTGGCCAGTGATGGCGTAGGCTGCAGCCCCTGCTGCAGTGGGCTGCCGTGAGCTACCATGAGTGGCCAGCAGCCGTGTGAGCTGCCATGAACTACTGTGAGTGGCCGTGCAATGACCAGCAAGAGACTGCCTCAGCCGGGAAGAGTGCAATGATCATAATACCAATCATAATACCAACATGAGCCAGTGAAGCAACGTCCTCCACAACTAGACTGAAGAACAAAAGGACAGCAGCTTGTCTGTTCCCCTTCCCCAATTCCCCAGCGCTGTTCCCATCCCCCAATTCCCCAATAAAAATCTTAAAAAAAAATACCTAGTGAGTTTAATAAAAATTTATTTGCAGTTCAATTTTTTAAAAAATAATAATGATTGCATAATACTTCAGCATCATTTAAATATACTATAATTCACTTACTGTTCTCTTAATGCTAGATACTGATGTTTCCATGGTTTTCACTTCTGCAAATAAAGATGTGATGCATTTTCTTGCACATAAAACTTTGTCTGAATTCCTGAATGTTTCCTTAGGATAAATTCCTAGAAGTTGAATTATAAACTTTTCATATATCTAACATTTACTTATCATTTAGAGGATGACAGGCACTATGTTCAGTGACTCACATGTATTGTGAGATTAGTACTATTAATTGTCTCCATTTTATGAATGAGGAAACAGAGCAAGGAGTGAATCAGTTCCCTGAGTCCAGAGCAGGGCCACCACCTTTTGGGATATTCAACTTAAACCTGTGTTATGCCTCAGTATGCTTCTGCTGCTCCTTTAATTCATTTAAAACATAAGAATGTTTAAAAGATTTTTGATATATATTACTAATGTACTTTTCAGGAAGGAATTTACCCTCCTATCAGCAGTATAGAAGTGTGTATGCATCACCACATCAAATCTGCACTGAGAATTTCAGTATTTTTCACCTTCACCAATTTCATTCATTAAAAAAAAATTGTATTTGGAGGCCGGCCAAGAGGCTCGGTTGGTTAAGAGCCTGACCTCTGAGCAGCAGGGTTGCCGGTTCGATTTCCACATGGGCCAGTGAGCTGTGCCTGAGCAGAGCTGCCCCTGAGCTGCCAACAGATGGCAGGATGGCTCACTCAGCGGGTGAGAGCACAGGCTCCTAACAACAAAGTTGCTGGTTAGACTACCATATGAGA